GAGGATATGTCGTAGGTCCTTGGAGGACACATTATCAGTCTATGGAGGATATGTCGTAGGTCCTTGGAGGACACATTATCAGTCTATGGAGGATATGTCGTAGGTCCTTGGAGGACACATTATCAGTCTATGGAGGATATGTCGTAGGTCCTTGGAGGACACATTATCAGTCCTTGGAGGATATGTCGTAGGTCCTTGGAGGACATATTATCAGTCTATGGAGGATATGTCTGAGGTCCTTGGAGGACACATTATCAGTATCAGTCCTTTGAGGACACATTTTCGTTCCTTTGAGGACATATCATCGGTCTTGTCGATCAATGGAGGACATATCATCATTGGTTCTTGTAAGACATATGATTGGTCCTTGAAACATATTTTGGGTTCTACAGACTAAAAATAGACTAAAAATAGCATTGGTCCTTGGATGACATCTCATCGGTCCTTGAAGGACATTGTATTGGTCATTGAAGGACTTTGTAATGGTCCTTGGAGGACACATGAACGGTCCTTATGAGACAAACCTTCGGTCCTAAAGAACACTTGAATTGTCCGTATAGCTAAAGGATACACCTTTTCTTATTAGGAGACACGTCATCGGTCGTGGAGACTAAACTGATAATATTAAATGTCCTCGCTGAAAATCTAAAAAAATAACTATATATTTTTAAGGAGGAGGAGAAGGGCATGATAAGACTGGAAGGTATGAGGAGAAGGTTGTAACCCATGATCCTGTTTGCATCATCATCATCTCCGTCCTCTCAGCAATCCTCTTCTCCCTTGCGTTATATAAGATAGTCCAACTCTGCACACGACTTTTCAGGTAGAAATCATAGTTTTCAGGTAGAAATAATAGTTTTCAGGTAGAAATCATAGTTTTCAGGTAGAAATCATAGTTTTTCATGACAATCAGACATGTACTGGGTATACTTTACTGGAGTATACTTTACTGGGGTATACTTTACTGGGGTATACTTTACTGGGGTATACTTTACTGGGGTATACTTTACTGGGGTATACTTTACTGGGGTATAATTTACTGGGGTATAATGTACTGGGGTATAATGTACTGGGGTATAATGTACTGGGATATATATGCTAGTTATAGCTGGCCAAACAACTGTTTTCAAATAAAGATTTAACGATTATTTTTGTACATTGAATATAATTTTCTTTTTCTTACAAAGTAGAAAACTCACATAGCTAAACCTCATCCACAGATGTGAAATATTGGAAATGTTGGATGTTAAGTTAATTGATTATAATTAATTGAGGCAAGTGTAACTTAAGGCAAATGTAACTTATGACAAGTGTAACTTATGACAAGTGTAATTTATGGCAAGTGTAACTTACGACAAGTGAAATTTATGGCAAGTGTAACTTATGGCAAGTGTAACTCATGACAAGTGAAATTTATGGCAAGTGTAACTTATGGCAAGTGTAACTTATGACAAGTGAAATTTATGGCAAGTGTAACTTTTAGCAAATAAAACCTACGACAAGTGAAATGTATGGCAAGTATAACTTATGGCAAGTGCATCTTATGGCAAGTGTAACTTATAGCAAATGAAACTTACGACAAGTGTAATTTATGGCAAGTGTAATTTATGGCAAGTGTAACTTAAGGAAAGTGTGACTTATGACAATTATAACCTACGGCAATTGTAATTTATGGCAAGTGAAATTTATGGCTTAAGTGTTACTTATGGGAAACATATTATGGCCAGTGTAACTAAGGCAAATGAAAATGAGCCGTTAAACAGTAGATCATGGAGTTAGAAGAGGGAAATATTAGGACAGCTCTGGAATTGGTTTCAGTGTAAAAAATTTTTTTTTTGTTTGTTGTTAATAAACAAGGCCCATGCTCTCCTGTCCTGCTCAGAAATCCAGAGCTTTTTTTCAATAAATTAAGTTGTTTTCACGCCGCAGTTAAATTTAAATAAAACCTATGGCGTCTCCTTAGTTCTTTTACTCTTTGTGTAAACATGTATGTGTAGAAAGCATAAAAAGTATTTTGTAGAATCTGAATTTTAGAGAGAAAAAAAATGTGGAATTATTTCTGATTTTGAGACGGATAGATGATATACGTTAATAAAATCAAATTATATATTTATTACATGAAAATTTAATGCATTTTGACAAAATAAACTTCACAAAAAAATATATATCTCCATGGAGGGAAGACGAATCTGGTGAGCCAGATTTTCACCAGTTTCTATGTAAAAACATAATAATAGATAGATAAACTGCTGATGTAAAGTTAGATAGTAGATTAGTTGCATTGTGTTTGTTCTCTTCCACAAAGAAATTGAGTCGTTGCCACAAACTCAAATTTGTTTAACCCTATGTCTCCGCAACTTAAAGATTGTTTGGTATTTCAAACTTAGATTATTTGATATAACATATAATTTTCAATTTAAATAATGTAAGGTCTACGGCTACGGCTATAACGGTCTACGGCAAGGCTAGAATAATTAAAAACAGCGTTTGTGGCAAAGACTCAATTCCTTTATTCCTGTTCAAATCCTATATTTATTTTCTTCAATCTGAGGTTTGTACTAAGTCCATATAATAGAATCCAACTAGATCTGACAAGGATGTTGTAATTGTGTTAGTTCTAAATAAAATGTATATTAATGAATATAAATGAATAAATGTGTTTCTTTCAATTTCTAGTTTTGCTTCACCCCAGGGGGTATTAAGAGATGATTTATGATAGTTTTCTACATACAAATGTCTACATTATATCATACAAATAAATCTTTTCGGGCACATTTCGAGAAGTAGTAATTTGGGCATCAGTGGTTCAAATTTGTGTAATGCCTCTTTGTGTAGAAGATTTTTCCAATCTTTAAAACAGATATCTCAAAAAATATGCTAAATTTAATCTAAAATATATCTTTGTCTAGGATTGAAGAAAACTCCTGTTCCTGTTTGCAGGAGGATATTTGGACTCTATCCAAACCTGATCTTGGATACATCAAACGTGACCAAGTGGATATAAAGACTCTACATAAACATGTAATTGGACATTCTAAATCTGTAGATGAATATTCTAAATCTGTAGATGGATATTCTAACCTTGTAGATGGACATTCCAACCCTGCCTTATCTCTCACGCTTCTCAATCTAAATCTTACAAACTGTTCTTGTTATAAGTTCTCTCCAACCTCATATCCAACATCTAGCAACCTTCTCCCATCCTCCTCTTTTTCTTCTCACCCATCCTCCCTCAGCCTTTTCCCATCCTCTCCTTCCACTCGTCCGACCTCGCTCAGCCTTTTCCCGTCCTTCTCTCCATCTTCCGAACCTGATCTACCCTTTGATCTATCGAAAGCTGAGCAATTGGAAAAAGTTTCAACATTAATCGATGAAAATTGATTTTAATCTATTTTAAACAATTCAGCTGAATAACGAGGAAAATTGATTCCCAAAATTAATCCAATCGATTAAATACATCATGCTCAAGATCTGCTCTGTTACTGTTCTTTTATTGTTTTAATTAAAATCGTGAAAAATCAAAAAATTCTTCTTCGTGAATTAAAAATCTTATTTTGTTTCAAGGATTTCATAACTGTATTTAACAATGGGCAATAACTTGGCTCGTTTTTAAAAACTTTTAAGGTTTTTGGACTTTGAAAATGTTTCACAAAAATCTAACAAGTTGCTAATTCTCAAAATTTGCTTTTCTTATACTTTGCCAAATTATGACCCTGAGGTAAGATGAAAAGAAACAAACGAAAAACGATACGTTTATTTAGTTCGGGTTTTCTTTCTTTTTTTCTTGGGACATTTTTTCAAACTTTTACAGAATACAGTTTTGAAATCTCTAACCTTCACTGAGATAAAGGATAACTCTGAAAGTTAGTCATCACATGTTTAAACAGCTAGCCTCGACTTAAAAAAAATGCAACGCACTTGTTTCTAGTTTAAGTTTGAAAGGAGTAATTGGCAAAATACTGCTGGATTGTTGCGTGATATCGTGCACATCTTGGTTTGCAGTGCTTACTTTGTTGCCTTTTAAAAGTTCAAAAACTTTAAAAGTTCTTGAAAAACAAGTTATTTCTCATGTTATTGTTATTACAGAATCAGAAAACTACGGATCAAGAAGACGACTTTTAGACTCAAGTTATGACTTTAAATAGTCCCATAAATATTAGACACAGCAATTGTTCAGAATTATTTCACAAAATAAGTGATTTATTAAGTTGCAAGTAAAACTATTTGCTTTGTAACAATAACAAATACTCTTGCTTTAATGTTGTCTTTTAATTACGCAGTTTTCTGAAAGGCGATTATTTTATTTTTCAACTATATGTATAGATACATTTAGTACGTCAAATAGAAAAGCATTTTTAATGGGCCTTTTATTTCCTATCATCTCAAACTGTACAGAAGACTTTTTGTCAGTTTTTATTTTAATTTATGTATATAAGAAAAACAAATAAATGCTTGTCACTTAAATACAACATTTGAATACAGAAACCTGTGAGCTGTTTCTTTAAATGGAATTTGAATAGAATTATATAAGAAAGGTTGGTTTATTAAACTTTCAAATTTTTGACAGATTATAGTGATTCTAATTGATATCACATCTGAGGGTTAAACTTTTGTATCTTACAGCGCTAAATTCTTTAATTAATAGGTTTACACATTGAAATTCGATTTCTGTCGCTAAAGCTAAGCACAAATTGCAGTAAAACAAACAAAAATGTTGAACTTTTAATTTTTACAAACATAGAAAATTGGGGGATACGATGTCCTGAAAAATTATGGCCTTTCTTCTAAATTTTATTTAAACCGAGTTACTTTCTGGAAAGAATAAAAATATGTACGTATCCCTTTTCCCTGTCTTATATCATTGGTTCTAAACAGCACAATACTTAATTCATTTCATTTAATGAATTCAATACTTCTCGTTAATAAATGCACTTTATTCTTTTTTATTCTAACAGTTATTTTTTCCCCCAGTTTAATAAAAAAGCTAAGTTATATGCCGCAAGTACAACAGGAAAAAAATGATAGAATAGAGCAGTTAAAATAAATAAAATAAAATAAACTTTTAGATGTTTGCGAATTTTATATTGAAAACAAAGTTAATTTGATATTTGTAAAAAAGAGCATTAACATATTTTAATAGTTATTCAGTAAATATTGACAATTTCTCATATTCCATTTATTGACCGGACTGATTGAAACACAAGACATTAAAGTTTAAATTGAGTGATAAAACATTTCAAAAACAATTTATTAGGTTTTAATGGTTTAAGAAACCATAATTGAATTTCTTATCGATTTTACATTTTTTTTGTCTGATGATCTACAGCGAGAACTATAGAAAACTCAAGACTCAACTTATAAATTTAGATAGTCCAATGAACATGAGACGCAGCAATTTTTAAGTGTAAAAAGACCCATTTCACTTAATAAGTGCTTAGATAAGTTACTAGTAAAACTATTTGCCTTGTAACAACATCTACAATACACTGATTGATTTAATTGATTTAATGTCGACTTCCTATTCCATAGTTTTATAGTACTTACTGTATGTAGTGGATGACAATGTGCTACCTTCTAAGCAGTTAGTCCAGGAGCAGCCAAATCCACCAAGTGACAAACCGGTTTTTATTATCGTTTAAGTCGGGTCCGTGGATAAAGGTTGTTTATGTCAAATTCAAGAAACAACAGATAGAAAAAAATAGTAACGGTAGACTCATAATCTATATCTATACTTTTGCTTGGGGTGTCGGGGTGTTTGTTTGTCTGTTTGTGTCCAATAAACGTCAAAACGGCTAAACCGATCGGGCCCAAATTTTGTGTGGGACCTCACATGACACCAGGGAAGATTTATGGAAAATCAAAATTTTGAAAATCCACGAAATTTTTGTTTAAAATCCGCAAAACTTTTTTGTTTGTTTTACAATTTATACAAATAGAAAATATTCACAATTAGAATAGAAGATGGGCACAAAGTGGCCTGAAAGCCTATGTATACCCTTCCATTAAAACATTTCCTTTAACTTAGAACATTAAATGTCGAATTTTAAAAGTTTTAAACTTTTAGATTCTAACTAAGTTTTAGTGTAAGTTTATTGAAAGGAGTTTGTGTTTGCAGTTTCAATCAGGATTAATAAAATTTAATAGAGAAGAATCAATAGTTTCATTCACGTTACTATTTACTCTACTTTCGAAATCATTTCATTTTATCTATTGTTTACTTCGAAAAAGTTATTTTTTAACATTTATTTTTAATTTTAATCTTAATAAAATTTTAGAATAGACCAGTGAATTTATTATCTGACTGTTGCATCTTCTGAATAGCTAATAATACATCTGTTTTCTCTTCCTCGAAATAGTTTTATTTACAGTATTTTCCCCAAAATAGTTTTATACACGCTCGGTTTCCTCCGAAATAGATTCAATTAATGTACTGTTTCCTCCAAAATGCTTTTATTTACTTTAACTTCTCCCCTGAAACAATTTCATTTTCTCGACTATATTTTCATTTTCTCGACTATATTTCCTCCAAAATAGTTTCATTTTCTCGACTATATTTCCTCCAAAATAGTTTCATTTTCTCTACTGTTCCTACCGAAGTAATTCCATTTATTCTACAGTTTCCTCCGAAGTAATTTAATTTACTCCTCGTTCTTTCCAAAATAATTTGATTGACTCTCCTGTTCCCTCCGAAATAATTTGATTTACTCTCCTGTTCCCTCCGAAATAATTTGATTTCTCCTGTTCCCTCCGAAATAATTTGATTGACTCTCCTGTTCCCTCCGAAATAATTTGATTTACTCTCCTGTTCCCTCCGAAATAATTTGATTTACTCTCCTGTTCCCTCCGAAATAATTTGATTGACTCTCCTGTTCCCTCCGAAATAATTTGATTTACTCTCCTGTTCCCTCCGAAATAATTTCATTTATTCTACGGTATCTCCAAAATAATATTAACTATTCTACTATATCCTCCGTCACTAGTTCTTGTCATAGTTTTGGAATCTTCCACAACTAACAAAATATTTTTAGGGTTCCAAATCTTTCCCATTTTACAGTATCGCGCCAGAGAATTCTGGTTCTCAAAAATGTAACCTCTGGTTCTCTTTACACTAGTTTTCTATCTCCCCTCTTAACCACAAAACAAATAACTTGAAGAAGGAGGATGGAATGAAAAGAACTTTCACAGAAGGAGAAGAAGAAGGAGAAGGAAAGAACTTAAGCAGAAGGAGGAGGAGATCGGAAAAGTTGAATATACGAAGAGAAGGAAATGGAAAGAACTTGAATACAAGGAGAATGAAATGGAATCAACTTGAATATATTAGGAGAAGGAGATGGAAAGAACTTGAATAGAAGGAGAAGGAGAGGGAAAAACTTGAATGTAAAAGGAGAAGGAGAAGGAAAGAACTTGAATATATAAGGAGAAGGAGATGGAAAGAACTTGAATATATTAGGAAGAAGGAGATGGTAAGAACTTGAATGTAAAAGATATGGAAAGAACATGAATATATTAGGAGAAGGAGATGGAAAGAGCTTGAATATAAAAAGAGAAGGAAATGGAAAGAACTTGAATAAACGAGGAGAATGTGATGTAAAAAAACTGAATATTAAAAGAGAAGGAGATGGTAAGAACATAAATAGAAGGAGAAGGAAATGGAAAGAACTTGAATAAACGAGGAGAATAAAATGGAAAAAAACTTGAATATTAAAGGAAAGAACTTGAATAGAAGGAGAAGGATAGGGAAGAACTTGAATAAACAACGAGAAGGTGTAGGAAAGAACTTGAATATACAAGGAGAAGGTGTAGGAAAGAACTTGAATAGAAGGAGAAGGTGTAGGAAAGAACTTGAATATACAAGGAGAAGGTGTAGGAAAGAACTTGAATAGAAGGAGAAGGTGTAGGAAAGAACTTGAATATACAAGGAGAAGGTGAAGGAGAAGGTGTAGGAAAGAACTTGAATATACAAGGAGAAGGTGTAGGAAAGAACTTAAATATAAAAGAAAAAGGAGATGGAAATAACTCGAATATAAAAGGAGAAGGAGAGGGAAATGACTTGAATAGAAGGAGACGGAGATGGAAAGAGCTTGAATAGAAGGAGAAGGAGAAAGATAGAACTTGAAGAGAAGGAGAAGGAAATAAATTAATCAGAATGAGAAGGATATGGAAAAAGCTTGAAAAGAAGGATAAGTAGAAAGAAATAACTCGAAAAGAAGGAGAAAGAAAGAACTTGAATAAACGAGGAGAAGGAGATGGAAAGTTTTGTGTGAAGAAAGAAAAAACAAGACTAAACGATTAAGAAAGGGAAGAAAAATGAATGAAGAAGGTAAGTAGGTTTGTTATATCGTATATATTCTGTTTGATGTAAACATATTTTAAAATGATCAAGGTTTGCATTTTATGTATGTATAAAAAGGTTTGTATATTATGTAGATTGAAAATATTTGCATAGATCGAGAATGTATTGCAGACCAAAGCAAAACATGCATAGGGGGTTCAATACAAGAAGGGTTTTGTGTGCAAGGAGAAAGTTAGGTTTACAAGGAGAAGGTTAAGTATACAAGGAGAAGGGTAGGTATACAATGAGAAGGTTTGGTATACAAGGAGAAGGATAGGTATACAAGGAGAAGGTTAGGTATACAAGAAGAAGGTTAAGTATACAAGGAGAAGGTTTGGTATACAAGGAGAAGGTTTGGTATACAAGGAAAAGGTTTGGTTTACAAGGAGAAGGTTTGGTATACAAGGAGAAGGATAGGTATACAAGGAGAAGGTTAGGTATACAAGGAGAAGGTTAGATATACAAGGAGAAGGTTTGATATACAAGGAGAAGGTTAAGTATACAAGGAGAAGGTTAAGTATACAAGGAGTAGGTTAGGCATATAAGGAGAAGGAATTGGTATACAAGAAGAAAGATAGGTATACAAGGAGAAGGTTTGGTAAACAGAGAGAAGGTTTGGAATACAAAAAAGAAGGTTTGGTATACAAGAAGAAGAATAGGTATACAGGGAGAAGGTTTGGTATTACAAGGAGAAGGATAGGTGTACAAGGAGAAGGGTTGGTTTTACAAGGAGAAAGATAAGTATACAAGGAGAAGGATAGGTATACAATGAGAAGGGTTGGAATTGTAACATTTAATCCCTTGATATCGTTACAATCCCAGACATAAATCCAAGGGAAATCAAGATCAATCGTTGCCCCCCATCATGTGAGGGTTAATACAAGACTTCACTTTCATTCCCAGTACCAGTTCATAACACGCCCAAACCTCTCTCCTTATGTATAATATCTATCTCTCATTCAATCTTAATGAATCCGTTCAGGTTAATTCTTCTGCATTGTTGAAAGAACAAAGACATGAAGGTGTGAGGCCAGGGAGGGTTTTCTTGCCATGAGTCATCCATACTTTAAATATTACAGAATACAAGGAGAAGGTTTAATAAGTTGCTGAAAAAAATAATACAAATATTTAGAATTATTATTCTTGATCTAGATCAGGTTTCAGTTTCATTGTAAGAAAGAAAGGTTAGTATCCGTAATAAGATAATAAAAACTAATTATATTATCTAACCTTTCTCTTCTTTACTTTTACTTTTTTTCCTATAGGTTAAATACAAAACATTGATTTATTTATGGTTTTTAAACTCCGCAGACACTTTTCATCCAAATAAAGGAACCTAAACCTAATTAATAATAAATAAATAATTAATTCAATAATACAATTTTCATCCAAATAAAGGAACCTAAACCTAATTAATAATAAATAAATAATTAATTCAATAATATAATATAATTGTCAGCGCTATTTCTTGAAAATGATTCGCACCTTTCCCTCATTTATAAAAAAAAATGTTAAAAAATCAATATTTAATGAAATTGTTTTATTTATTTGGATTAATTCTACTTTTTGAACTTGCTTATGATATATTTTGTTAGATTCTGATTTGAGTAAGGCGTTATCGAATCTAGATAAAGGGGAGAGAGAGGCGGGGGGATTAGAGGAATTACATTTTAGCCATTCTTTTACAAATACACAAAACCAATTCAGTACATGTAAACTGTTCTGGTAATCTATATATATTTTTGGTTTGTTTAACTGTTTGTTTGTTTGTTAATTAGATTGACCCCCACCAACACTTTATATACGTATATACATATACATATACATATAATTAAACAGTTTGTTTTTAATCTTTCAGGCAGAAACAATATCAAGGAATAATAATTGTCTTTAAACATTTTGAAAAAGTGAATATTTGCAAATTATCTTTTTTTCCATCTCATGATCTAAGTTCGTTTTCCTCTTGTTCATTTGACAGTCCATTTTTTAAATAATCTTTTTTGTTTGTTTATTTTCTTGTGGTTTTTAGCATTTCTTTATCATTTTGATGGTTATTATATCGTTAGAACTGACGAGGGTCAACCTAGACCGAAATACATTTTCCATAAATGTGGAACTAACATCTACTTTATTACTCTACAGAGGTTTGGTCCATCACCAGAGCACCGAATTTTTAACGTTTGTTTGTTTCTTTCTTTGCGTTCAATAAACGTCAAATCGGCTGGTTCAGTTTCACAATTACGAAGAAAAAATGAAAAGTAATGAGATTTAGAGACGACAGTGCAGATCTTAGTTCCCTACAGATGGAAACTTTTTAAAAACACTTTAAGATCTAAAAACTAACTTAAACTTAGACAGAAATCCAAATTAAACATTAAACATTATTATATTGAAAGAGTTTCTGGTAAATACTACTAACACTACTATGCACAATTTATTCCAATGTCTAGTGGAACTCACTGTACCAATGTAGATTGAAGAATAAATGTTTATATTTATAAATAAATATAAATATATATAAATATATACCTTGTACTTGTGTCTCCTGATGGAGTATCCATGTCTAGTTCTTTATTTTTAGAGTCTAGCTCTAATACTTTATCTGTATATCCTAGTTTTAATCCTTTATTTGTAGATCCTAGCTCTAATCTTTTATGTTTAGATCCTAGCTCTAATCCTTTATGTGTAGATCCTAGCTCTAATCTTTTATGTTTAGATCCTAACTCTAATCCTTTATGTGTAGATCCTAGTTCTAATCCTTTCGTTGCCGATCCTAGCTCTAATCCTTTAGTGTAAATCCTAGTTCTAATCCTTTATCTGTAGATCCTAGCTCTAATCCTTTTGTGTCCAATTTATCTATACAAATTGTTCCAACCAGGAAGAATACCCCAGAAATGAGGCGGGGTGGGAAATTCCTTTTCATGATTCGGTTAATTATGAAAACTAACCAACGTTTTATTATAAATATATCATTAACAATTGTTCATTGCCAATTCCTTGATTATACTTTGGTCAATGAAGAGGAAGGGAGGGAGGGGAAAGGAGGGTGAAGAAAGGCATGGGAAAGGAGAGTGAAAAAAAGGGTGAGGTGGGATGGAGGAGAAAGCGGTATAAAGAGAAGAGGGATGGAAGAAAGATGGATAGTTACTTTTCCAATTTTCTAAAGAACTTTCTAAAAAACTGCGGTTTCCTTTTAAACTGCATCAAAGCTTTTCTCAAACCCTTATCTCAAGTTTATATTTAATCTGCTTGAAATTTTATTAGTTTTAAACTTTTTCGGAAAATTTAATTTTTTTTGGTTAGAACTTCTTGGTAACACTTGTAAGACCGTATTTCTTTATTTATATTTTTCCAGCACAACTTAGTACAGTACGCTGAGTCCAAAATGTAAGACAAAGCCTTGTCATGAAACCCCAGTATCGGAACCCGAGTTTGGTGAATGGGTTAAGACAATTTTTCGTTTGAAATATTATTTCACAGATTATTCTTACAATTTCAATTCTGACATTGTTATGTATACAAATAAATACTTCCTTGAAAGGAGTTTCATTCTTAACCTTCACCTTTACTCTATACCCTGTACACTGTACACTGTACACTCAACTGTACACTGTACAGTGTAAAGGGTACAGTGTACAGTTGAGTGTACATAGAACATTTATAAAATAGATAAAACCTTGAAAAGATTTATTCTTGAAAGTATTTCCGCCGATATGCACAAATTCAGCCCAATGTATATTCTCAATAAATTTATAAGAAACAATATCTAAATTGCAAATATCCAAATTGAAATATATTGAGGATAAAATTTTTCCATCTTTTTATTGAAAATAAAACGTTGAAACCTATATCTTTACATTTGCAAACTAAAAAGGGAATTTTTTCAAGTATTAACCCGAAGTTTTTATTTCGTTACTTCCATAAATTCTTATTTTCAAATATTGTTTTAAAAAATGAATGATTTAGAAAATATTACTATTGCACGGGCCTATTTATCAAAAATTCTATTTTCTTCTCAAACATATAATATAATAATACAGTTTTAACCCAAGAACTGCAGTTTTATTTTATTTTTGTACTTAAATGATAATAAACATGACGCTCTTTCAAACTGTTCCCGCATATTCCATTATTTAATTTTACAATTACTAAGGTTAGTAGTATAAAACCCATTGAAAAATTATTTTTTTTAAATCTAAATATTTATTCATGGTTTATAAAATTCGAATTACAATTTAAAAAATGCATGTATTACTTTTTACTATTTATTTCACTTGAAGTCGTCTTCCGTAGCTTGTAGACATTGGTTATTTTTAGAATGCCAATGAATAAGTTGACAACTAGCTCTCGAGTCATCCTTCTGGGGGAAGCAAGTAAAAAATTCACCAATTTTTACTGTAGATTTTGTTGGACACAAAGAACAGTTTTTATCCTGACAATACCCGAATATTGGATTGATTAAATTAGGTGGAGGAAGGGGTGGTTTAGGATCAGATTCTTGTTCTTCCTTATCAAGCTTAAATTCGGGTTCAGTCTGGAAGAGTGTACCGAGTGTACCAGGAGTAGGAACGTGTATGTCTGGCGTACAACCTCCATCCAGCTGGGGAATAAGTTCCAAATATTTCACTATGGTTCCTATTTTAGGGGGACATACATCCTTCTTAGGTTTACGGCGTCCTCCTTCCTTCCATGAAGATCTAACACCCTTCAGGGTGGTTCTCTTCTCCTTCAGGGGGGACCTGACTTCATCTAGGGTGGGTCTCTTCTCCTTCAGGGTGGACCTCACATCGTCTAGGGTGGACCTCACATCGTCTAGGGTGGGTCTCTGCTCCTTCAGGGGGGACCTCACATCATCTAGGGTGGGTCTCTGCTCCATCAGGGGGGACCTCACATCATCTAGGGTGGGTCTCTTCTCCTTCAGGGGGGACCTCACATCGTCTAGGGTGGGTCTCTGCTCCTTCAGGGGGGACCTCACATCATCTAGGGTGGGTCTCTGCTCCTTCAGGGGGGACCTCACATCATCTAGGGTGGGTCTCTTCTCCTTCAGGGGGGACCTCACATCGTCAAGGGTGGGTCTCTTCTCCTTCAGGGGGTACCTCACATCGTCTAGGGTGGGTCTCTGCTCCTTCAGGGGGTACCTCACATCGTCTAGGGTGGGTCTCTGCTCCTTCAGGGGGTACCTCACATCGTCTAGGGTGGGTCTCTGCTCCTTATCATTAACTTGGTTGGTTTTTTCGGTTTCAGGTATTAAATACCGTTTTCTCCTCCATCTTCTATTCTGGGTAGAGCTATAGGTTTCCTTGTACCTATGTCCGGGTAAACAAGTGAAAGAGAAGAATTCTTGTCCATCTCTAGACCACAGGTGTAATTTCAAATCTAGTCCAGAACTCACTCCAGCTTTATACAACTCTAGAAGCCTGTATGTAATATTCATGTTTGTTGAACTGGATTTCCCGCCATAATACAGCCGGGTCAGCTGGTTAGATCTGGTTTGGGAGAGTGAGTTGCTTGTTGTTGACGGGAGCAGGGTATGAGAGAGATTGAAAAATTATTAACACGATATTTTATGAATTCTTTCGATATTTCCAAAGTTTTGGGGTACATATTGTAGAATAGATATATTTATAGATTCTTTTATTTTTAATAAGGAGCTTCATTAAAAAGTTTATCTTAATTTTGTTATATTTAACGATTTTTTAGTGCAAAACAGTTTAAATAACCTTTAGATAAATAATGATTTTCCCAGAATTTCCTTTTTTAAAATGAAAATATGACATGATTTGTTCATCTGGTCTACTAATATGATTATTGCGCATGACTACTAATCTTGTAATGTTTATATTTGTGGGACGGATTTGATTACTCTGACTCCTGATAAGGTATTTAGCACCAGGTCTGCAGTATTATACGTTGGACCTAGAGCAACCTAATCTCAGCATTCATTTTTATACTTTAGTAGTTAATTAATTTGGCGCGGAAGCGACAAACAGAAAATGATAAAAATAATTGAAAATATAAATATAATTGTTAAAAATAATATAGCGGTTTTTATTTCTTGTATGTTGACAGCTAGGTATTCCAGGTTATGCATACATGTATATAGCTAGGTATTCCAGGTATACATACATGTATATAGCTAGGTATTTCAGGTTATACATAAATGTATATAGCTAGGTATTCCAGGTTATACATACATGTATATAGCTAGGTATTCCAGGTTATACATACATGTATATAGCTAGGTATTTCATGTTATACATACATGTATATAGCTAGGTATTTCAGGTTATACATACATGTATATATAGCTTGGTATTTCAGGTTATACATACATGTATAAAGCTAGGTATTTCAGGTTATACATACATGTATATAGCTAGGTATTCCAGGTTATACATATATGTATATAGCTAGGTATTTCAGGTTATACATACATGTATATAGCTAGGTATTTCAGGTTATACATAAATGTATATAGCTAGGTATTTCAGGTTATATCAGAATGAAGTAAGTGCTTGATCTGTGATGGTTCAAGGACGAATAATTCTTTTTCTCCTCCCTGCTGCTGTATACCTGGAGAAGGAATACTTAACCCTTGATCTGGAGGTGGAAGATGTTCTCCTACTCCAGAATGATTGTGAGCTAAAGGGAATAAAGGTGAGGGAAAGAGTTCTAGCTTAAAGAGACTGTAAGCGTAATTTTATGTGACCCTCCAATTAGAAAGAGGGGTGTGTCTGATTCACTTAACGTCATACCCTTGAACCCGTTATCTGATCAGAAAAGTGGAGGATAACGTCGTTTTTTAGCCAGAAAGTGTTTGATTCTGCTTATTTCTCCATGGTTTTCCTGCAGTAGAATGCGCAAGCCAATTTTGTGGAGAAACCACAATGGAAAATAATTACAAGTGGGATTTATAATAAATGCTTGAGCAGACAATGCTTTAAAGAGATAGCATTGTAAATTGGACGTTGTTAACCTTTACATGGAGGGTCACTTGAATTTATGCCTACAGAGTCCTTTAAAGCGAATTCAACGACTCACAACTCTACACTTTAGATCTTTATCTTAGAATTAATTGTGAAATTATCTTTCCCATTTATTTTACATCAAGTTTCTATAAAAAGGGAGATTTTTCATTTTGAGCCTTGAAAAATAACTTTAAAACTGCTTGTAAATTGTTTGAAAATTACTTGAAAACTGCTTTTATACTGCTAGAAACCTACTAGAAAATTGCTAGAAAACTTTTAAAAACTGTTAGAAAAGTGTTAGAAAAGGGCTTGAAAACTGCTTGAAAAGTGCTTGAAAAGTAATAGAAAACTTCTAGAAAACTGCTCTAACACTGCTTGAAAATTGCTACAAAAAACAGCTCGAAAACTGCTTGAAAACTACTTGAAAATTGCTTAGCATTTAGATGCCAGAATAAAATGTACAGAAGTAAAAATTGCTAAATATTGCATAACTTATTTTCGCTTGCATACATACATAGTGCTATGATAAATAAAAAAGCATTTCTTAAGTATTTAAAACTAGATACTTATAGACACTCGACACTATAGGTACTAAACACTCGACACTATAAATACTAGACACTCGACACTATAGATACTAGACACTCGACACTAGATACTAGATACTAGACACTAGACACTAGACACTAGATACTAGATACTAGACACTAGATACTAGATACTATAGACACTAGATACTAGATACTAGATACTAGATACTAGATACTATAGACACTAAAAGAACATTGAGACTTTTCACAGACCTTTCATTCTTGCTAATTTTACATTATTCCAAATATTTTTCTTTTTGACTTGTCTCTCTCGAACTTTAAAGGTTAAACTGAATATTTAAATAAAAGTCTGGAGTCTAGAATCAAGAGACTTGGTGCTCTATATTTCAAGTAATTAAAATGATTAAACAGAAATGGTTGAAGCCATGAAATTCAGTTTATAAAAGTAGGTTTTTATAAAATACTAGGCTTTTAGGGCGCTTCGCGCCTATCTTCTATTTAAATTGTGAACATGTTCTTTTTGTTTACATTTAAAAACAAAGAAGAAAAAAATTTTGCGGATTTTAAAAAAAAAATTCGTGGATTTTCAAGAATTTAAATTTTTTACAAAATTAAAAACCTTAAAACACATTTTTTAAAAATTTTTATCATTCATAAACCTTCCCTGTGGTCACGTGATGTCCCACAAAAAATTTGGGCCCGATCGGTTCAGCCGTTTTGACGTTTATTGGATACAAACAGACAGACAAACAAACACCCAAACCAAATTTATATATAGATAAAATACAATATTATTTACTTTATATTTTGAAATACCGCTGAAAATACTTTAACAATTAAAACACTTTTTAAGCTAAAAATAACGACGCTTTCCCGTTACTGATAAAGATTTAAAGGGTACCGTTGTGAATAAGGCAAGCCCTCATTAAATGGGTCACTTGAAATTATGTCAGTCCCTTGAGTTAAGATTTAGGGGTATTATTTTCACGAGAAAAAAGGGAAACTAAACTGAAATGATTTCTCAGAAATCTGTGAGGGTGCAAGCCCTTAATTATTTGACACGGTTTGTTCAATGTGTTGTAAATTTTAAAAGATGGAAAAAGTAATTGAGCTGAAAATGGCACTAACGCGGAAAATTTAATTTTTTATCCTTTCTTTTTATTTTTGTACATTTCATTCAAAAAAGTTTGATTAACAGACAGCCAGTTGTTTTCACAACAAAAAACACTGCACATAAAAATGTGCACGCTTTTACACAAAAATCAAGCAGTATTTACCAATTACGCCTTCTAAACTTAGCTAGAAACAAGCGCGTTACAATTTTTAAATGAATATGTCTAGGACTACAAGAAAGTATAAGTGAGTTGGTGAGGTAAAACCAAAGGCCAAGGCGTTGCGACACTTAAAAGTTGAGGCTGTCCAAATATTTGATGACCAACTTTTCGAGTTGTCTAGATCTTAACAACACTAACAACATTAACAAATAGGAAATGTTCTCGATTGTCTCTGCACATTCTTCTTTGTCTTATATGTGAAAATATCTCCGATGTCTATCATATCTGAAATGTTCCAACACCTTATATTTGTTTCAGGATAAATTGAATAAGACGAATACATTGTTCTGGAGAGCAGTTGACAAGACTAGAAACCTACCACACAATATTAATCTAATTATACCACCAGGATTCTGCCAGGACCAAAACTATAATAGAACAAGACGGGTTCAGGGTTCGGCTTTTATCACTAGTTCGCCAAGTTCGATCGTTCAACCAGGGGCCTGCGGAGAACCTGGATATCAACTAAACCTAGGGTTTACTAACACCCGGAGAAACCGGCAGTTGAATGAGAACCTGGAGAATATGGTTTACCTGACTAGGTTTCTGTACGGAGTGTTTCCTGAGCACGGAGTTGAATCAAGTTCCATGTTTCCTCTCTTCTACAGGAATAGATCAGAGGTTAGTTCATTCATATTTTTACAGGTTTACATTGAACAAGATTCGTACTACATATTGCGAATTTAGCATTCATAAATACGATTTAATTATTTGGTGGATTTTAGAAAGTTATTGAGAACTTTTGGTGAAATAAAATGAGACACAATTATTTTACAGATGGTAAAAAGAATGCAAATATAAGATTGAATCCGTCTTGAGTCTAGAGATCGGAATTTATGTGTGGACATTTTTGATTTTCAACGTTTGATCTCTAAATTGATCTCCAATGTGGGCGCTTTTAATTATCAATGCTTGAATTCTCAATAAAAGTTATCCTAATAAATTAATCTTTTCAAGGCTCAAGAAGGATTGTATGAAATATTACAATTTAGTTTAAAAATCCATAAATTAAAACCAAAGTCAGAATATTGTGGAGAAGTATGGGTTATTTTTGCCAATAGTAACACATGGTGCAGCATTTTCCTCTATATTCTTCACGCTGCAGAGAGCCAACCAGACCAAATTAAATATTTATTTTAGGAATATAGAATAGATAATACAGGGGGAAAGTTTTAAAACTAGTTTTTTCCCAAGTTTAAGTTTTTATCACATTACTTCTTATCTTTTTCTGTTTGTGTATTTACAACACTATTTTGTATGATTCATGAAGGATGATGATGAGGATTTATTGTGAAGGGACAATTTTAGTTTTTAGAATAAATATTTGATTTTTTAAGTTACTCATCAAAATAAAGCCAGAATTTATAAAATTATATTTCCCCGTAAAAAAGAAGAATGTTTTCTTACTTTCTATGCTTCTTACTGAATGGTTTTTCTATGATTATTATTTATAAAATCCCCAAGAAACCATTTTTAGCTTTTCCAGAAAGAATTATTTGACCAAAGAGTAGAATATTGGGGCCGGGGTTAAACGTAATAAGAGAACTAAGTGAACCTCACATATTTAAAGTAGGTTCAAATCTATCAAAGTATCAGCTACTTTAAATATGAGAACTAAGTGAACCTGACATATTTAAAGTAGGTTCAAATCTATCAAAGTATCAGGTACTTTAAATATGAGAACTAAGTGAACCTCACATATTTAAAGTAGGTTCAAATCTATCAAAGTATCAGGTACTTTAAATATGCCGATCACAAAGTTAGGACAGTGTGGCTTCTTATTAATAACTATTCTTTCCTTAAACAAGCAATCCAATATGCGAGCGCGCATATATTGGAAATGTTTCTATTTTGGATAAAATGTATTGTAACAAAATTATCATTCTTGAAAAACTAGAGTTGAACTATAATGAGCCCATTACACGTAGATTTTCTATTTTCCATTTAAAGGGTGAGACTGGCTAGGTTTGGTAGTTGAACTTAAAGTGCAGTATTAAAGAGAAAAATCTCAGGATTTATTTGATACCTATACAACCTATAGTAGAAATTATAGAAAGTAAAAAAGTTATAAAGGAATCAATTGAATCCTGATACTTTTTTTCTATAATACTGTCCTATCAGTTTAACTACACCTAGCCAGTCACTCCCTTTAATACTTTTTGCTGAGCTATGTATTTCAAATATTTAAGTATTATTTTAAGAGAGAAAGAAATATGACTGAAAATATTCCATTGCAGATGTACTGAGAACGTAGTTAGTTTTACATGCAATGATTATTTTATTTTATTATTGACAGGTTGAGTTAAACTCCTGCACAAATATTCCAGTGGAAGGAAACTTCACGGAGCAATGTATAACAACCCAGGTTGTTAAAACCTTCTTAGTACTAAACTTACTACCTAGAGCATAGAGACGGTGTAGGGGAGGGGATAAATACCGGTCACAATATAAAATTTATTGATTACATAGATTACTCAGATTTAGTACCCTTAGTAGCTAATTATTACTCAGTGTGCTAGATTAACTATAGATTACTCAGTGTGCTAGTTAACTATAGATTACTCAGTGTGCTAGTTTAACTATAAATTACTCAGTGTGCTAGTTAACTATAGATTACTCAGTGTACTAGATTAACTATAGATTACTCAGGGTACTAGATAAAACCATTGATTACTCAGGGTACTAGATTAACTATAGATTACTCAGGGTACTAGATAAAACCATTGATTATCAGTTTACTAGATGAACTCTAAATTACTCAGGGTACTAGATTAAGTATAGATTACTTGGGGTGGGGTGGAGAGTGTGCGACACCAGTTCTCGTTAGATCACTGAAGTTAAGCACACTTGTCCACAGCTCTAGATTAACTATAGATTACTCAGGATACTAGATTAACTATAGATTACTCAGGGTACTAGATTAACTATAGATTACTCAGGATACTAGATTAACTGTAGATTACTCAGGGTACTATGTTAAATATAGATTACTATGGGAACTAGATTGACTAAAGATTACTCAGGGTACTAGATTAAGTATAGATTACTCAGGGTGCTAGATTAAGTACAGATTACTCCGGGTACTAGATTAAGTACAGATTACTCAGGGTACTAGATAAACCATTGATTACTCAGTGTACTAGATGAACTCTAAATTACTCAGGGTACTAGATTAAGTATAGATTACTCAGAGTATTATAGATTACTTAGGGTATTAATTTAACTATATGTAGATTACTTAGGGTACTAGAATATCTATAGATTACTCAGTGTACTAGATTAACTATATATTGCTCAGGGTACTAGATTAAGTACAGATTACTCAGGGTACTAGATTAAGTATAGATTACTTAGGGTACTAGAATAACTATAGATTACTGAGGGTACTAGATTAACTATATATTATTTAGGGGACTAGATTAACTATATATTACTCAGGGTACTAGATTAAGTATAGATTACTCAGTGTACTAGATTAAGTATAGATTACTCAGGGTACTAGATTAAGTATAGATTACTCAGGGTACTAGATTAAGTATAGATTACTCAGGGTACTAGATTAAGTATAGATTACTCAGGGTACTAGAATAACTATAGATTACTCAGGGTACTAGATTAAGTATAGATTACTCAGGGTACTAGATTAACTATAAGATTACTCAGGGGACTAGTTTACCATGCATGAACTAACTAGACTAAGGTTATTCTGTGTAGTTAGTTGAGTTAATACAGTTTGATTAGATAATGCTGATGTAGGTAGAATCATTATATATGACATGAAAAACTAATCTAATTCATTTTGTCTGCTTCATACGGATATAAATAGAAATGTTAATGTAACCTCTACAAAGGTAGAATTAGTGTACAGAACAAAAATATAAAAATGACAAAGGAACTGATTAAAAAAAATTCGAATTTTATAATCCTTATATCTTTGAAACTTGATGTCTTAGACCTTTGTTATCATAAACCATGAAGTTGACTTGTGCTAATTCCGAGATTTAACCTAATTAATGAAATTAATATTTTAGTTTCAGTATAATTAGGCAGGTTAGTTAACAATGAGAGGTAGTTGGTTAAGTCTGAATTTGAAGTAACATTATTGTATTAAAGTGGAATGTGAAAATATTTAAAGGGAGTGACCGGCTATGTAAGGTAGTTGAACTGAGTATGCAGTGTTGTGGAAAACTTCTTTCGGATTCATTTGAGACATATTAAAGATCTCTAAATCCTGAGTTTGAGCCCAAATTCGACGCTCAAAACTTCTACTTTGGAGGTTGATACGTTTTCAGAATTAGTTTTTTTTTTTAATTATTAAATAACGACGACATAAAATGAAAAAAAGTTCTACAATAAACTACTGATGTATAGGAACATGTTGAGAAAATAAAAATTAATCTTACCATCGAAAATAAGTAATCTTGTTCAATTAATAGTTTCTATTTTCTCATTATTCACAAAGATTTTCGCAGATTTTCTAGAATTATTATTGAAAAGACGACATTTGAAGAATTTGAGGAAATCGGCGAATAAATTCAAAGTAAATAATTAATGTATTATAATAATGAAAACGAAATAATAGATTTTAGCATTGATTTATTGACAAATTTCTTTTGAGAAATATGTTCCTAACCATCTAATTAGATTACTGTATAATTTGTACTCTATTTTTCGTTGTCGTTATTTAATAATTTAAAAAAAAAAATAATTCTGAAAACGTATCCATCCCCAAAGTAGGTGTTTTGAAATTCGAATTTGCGCTCAAACTCAGGATTTACAGATCTTAGAAAAGTTTAATATGTCTCAAATCCGAAAGAAGTTTTCCACAACACTGCATACTCAGTTCAACTACCTTACAAAGCCGGTCACTCCCTTTAAGTGAACTGCTATTTGTAGAGTGGAATGTCCGATTCACAATGGTATGCTTGAAAGCTAAGAATTAGAAGCTTTAAAATTGGTTATTTTTGATCTAGTAGTTTCTCTATAAAGTGACTTACAGATTTCTGCTTATAAAACAATGGAGGTAACTGTAAGAATTACACTAATTATAACCTAGAAAAACGACAATATCTCCGACATCATTGATCAGATAAAGGTGTAAGGGTGGGTAAACTATGAATACATATTGCTGATAGTGGAAAAGGGGGAATAATTGACAAAACATTAAATTTAAAAAAAAAACTTGGAATCATTTTGCAGTTTTTAACGGAATTGTGTCTAATACCAGAAACTCTGATTTTCTAATCCTATATCTTTGCAACCCAATGTCGTAGATTTTATTAATTCTGTTATATCAAATAATCAAAGTCAGAAATATCAAAGTTTTTAGTACCCTTAATTTCTACTAAACCTTCGGAGTTTCCTAAGCGCATTTATTCTTGAAATTAAACAATAAAATATGAATATTTAAACCATTAATAATTAATATTTTCAGAATTGTTTGGATAGAATAGAAGAAAACCAGATAAATGTGACCAGCTCTTTACTATTCTCAACGGATATAAACAAATTTGAAAATGTGAGAACAAGAAAATATCATATTCCCTCTCAATCTAGATAACCTTTATGTTGATAAAAGATGAAAAGGAGTTTATGCAAATCTAATGTATCTACAATATTCAAACAAAATACCATCAGTATAAATAATTTTATATAATAATACCCTGACAGCACCAAACACATTTTTGTTGACGTCATTTTCTACACATGCGCAGTAAGCAAGTGTTATGTATTTACCCTGGTAAATAAAGTATTCTTCAAGAAAAACATACTCTTTGAGTAATTTTGAATTAACCAGGGTAGAAACTTGTTCAAGAAACAGGAGGAAAATTCTACCCAGGGTACCAGTTAACTTTAGAGTAAATCTACTGTAAAGTTTACTCTAGGGGTTTAGAAATCTTTAACCCTTTCCCCCTGGGGGGGGGGGGTCAATTTGACCCCCCCCCTGTAGTTTTTTTTACATAACTCAAAAAGTATTGGTCTGAGGCTGTTGAAATTTGCTGACTTTTCTTACATACCCAAAGCCCTCCCTTTAGGCCTAAAACCGGGCTTTAATACTAACTGCCTGAGTCCTCAGGCACACTGCCTGAATGACTGTTTTTGCCTGTAGCAAACTAAATCTTTGTTTTGACCCACTTTCACTTTTCAGATTTTCATAAAATTTAGCTTTTTGGAAAGCCTATGACATAAGGAAACGGATTGCACAAGTTTTGCGAAAAAAAAATTGCAATTTTTTTGCAAACAACCTGTCAAAGGAAATTTGCACATTTTTAGTTTTTCTTGATTAAAAATCAGGTTATTTAAAATTTTGCAAAATTTTTTGCATATTTGAAATGGCATGGTCAAGGGCTTTTCAAAAATGTATAATTTGTCATTTTTTGGACAAATTTTTTTTTGCAAACATTTTTACTATAAAACTGGATTTTGCGATAAAAAATTCAATTTTCGCAAATTTGCAAATTTTTTTGCAGATTCTAAAAGTAGAGCTTTCTAATGATGTATCATTTGTCATATTTGGACATAAAACATGGGATTTAGAGGGGGGTCAAATTGGCCCCCCCCCCCAGCGTATCCTGGTTTTCAAGTACCCTAGCGGGGATAGGGTTAAGAAATTGTACTTAAGATTTGAAAATGAATATTTAGATGGAACGGTACTGTACACGCACAACACATGTACAATCTTCTCCAACCCTGCAGAACCTGATCTGCTCAGAGAAAAGTGTTATGGAGGTATTTGTAATTTACTTGCTGGGCTTTTCATTCTCTTTCCGTGTCTTCTTCTACAGGGTGTCCCAAAAAACATGGGAATTCAGTGACGAATTCGATATCGTCTTTGTTATTAATTAGCATAGTAATACCTAATTTCAAAAGCCATAATATTATTATTTCTGCTAGAGTTTATTTTATGAAAAGGGTAAAAGATTGTAAATATAAGATGAACAGTGAATGCGGACAAGTTTACTCTGTTTGTATACTGCAATTTTCTTATTTTACTAAGTACAACCGTATGCAGTCAAAACATAAACAAACAAAATGTGAACATAGCAGACGAAAGATTACAGCTTTCTCATTAGTTATGACTATACTAAATCAAAGAATTATTTAAAAAGACGATATCGAATTCGTCACTGAATTCCCATGTTTATTGGGACACCCTGTAGTAACAACTCTAGCTTGTAAATGTAGCTTTAGATATTTTTTCTTCGTACTAAATATTTTGCGAATTTTCTCTGTTTACATTGTTAAATCTAAAATAATTTTTTCTCAGAATATTTTTCGACCAGCAAGAAATCTCCACTTTATTTATTCTAAAGTTCAGAAACATGTTAAAATATTTTTAATACCTATCAATTTTTATTAATAGTATGTCTAACATTTTGAAGTTTTTATATAACAAGGCAGGGGCTTCTACTGGAATTTGTCATGGAGAGACTTAACATATTTGAAATTTTTGGGGGTAAAATCATAACCGAAAGCCCCCCATAGCCCCCCCCCCTGTATACGCCCTTCTAAAATACGTCCTAGATGAAGAGAAGCCGGCCTATCTACCTATCTTGATCTGTTTAGCAGTTTCTGTTTCAAACCTTCTATAATTTAATCTTAATAGTTTATCTTCACGAAATAACAAAACTCTTTTGTAAAACAAATTTGAAGTATTTTGCGCAATATCTTCCTCTATAAGATTGAAGAGAAATTAATTATCTTTAGGTTCTAGATTTCAAGGATCAGGTTGAGCTCCTAGCTCCGGTAATAAACATTCTACAGAGAGAAGAGATAAATGCATTCTTCTTCATCCTTGATACAGGTTCATGTTAAACCATGTTACAGGAGGGTTTACAAACTATTAAATATTTTTAATTGGGCCTTGCTTACGCAGCTTAAATACCAGTAAATCTATAATTTTAATTTTCAATTTTCGAAAGTTAAAATTTTTCAACTTTTAAGTATCTTAAAGTCTCAAAAGGATTGTTCACCTATTTAAAATAACACCTCTCATGATTCTTCGTTTATTTTTATATAGTTTACAATCCCTTTAAACTGTTCTTGTTCTCACGTCCTGAAATTAATCCCTTTAAACTGTTCTTGTTCTCACGTCCTGAAATTAATCCCTTTAAACTGTTCTTGTTCTCACGTCCTGAAATGAATGTAAATATGGAAAAGTTTAATTAAAATCTTATTACAGGAGCGGAGATAAGACGGGTCTGGTCAGTTTTCCGAGCTGGACTAGCTCCGAGTTATAAAACTTTGCCGGATTCAACTAAATTAACTGTCAGGTTCAAATGTTTATTAATTTTATTAAAACATTTTGAATGCAAGGTTTATATATAAAAATCCAGCTCCAGTGTGAAGATTCCAGCTCGATTATGAAGATTCCAGCTCCATTATGAAGATTCCAGCTCCATTATGAAGATTCCATCTCCATTATGAAGATACCAGCTCCATATGAAAATTCCACCTCCATTATGAAAATTCTAGCTCCATTATAAAGATACCAGCTCCATATGAAAATTCCACCTCCATTATGAAAATTCCAGCTCCATTATGAAAATTCCACCTTTGTTTTTCTAAAATTCTTCCGGCTCAATATTTCTTTTTAATTTCTTTATTTAGTTTTATTTTCTAGTTCTTTACTGTCAATTTCTAAGTTTTGGCTCTATCTCTTCCTCTAGAATAATATATATATATGTATGTATATTGTATATGTATATGGGTATATTTAGATATTCGGTATCGGACCCCATGAATATTACTGACGTCCAGAAACAGAATCTTACCGAGGACTTCATCAAGGAGAGAGGAGAACTCGTTGTTCTATTACTTATTGGTCTTTACTTCGAGAATTTAATCTTTTTAGAAGCAAACATTTATTACAATATTCTGTCGATATAGTAAAGATTCCATAGACTAATATTATACACAGATATAGTTGTGTCTGTAACAATTTATCCCAGACACCTGAAAATGAATAGTTCTAGTCCTATATTCGAACATTTGTTTTTCCAGACTTTTAGCATAGTATAGTATCTTAAAACAACTTTTACCATCTTAATGGAATCTTATGGCATCTTTATCACCTAATAGTATCTCATAGCATCCTATGACATTTTTTAGGATCTTATAGCATTCTATCGCAAATTATAGCATTTTAAAGCATCCTATAGCATCTTATAGCATCTTATATAATCTTATAGCATCTTATAACATCTTATATCATCTTATAGCATTTTATAGCATATTAAAGAATTTTATAGCATGTTTTCTTACATCATCTTATAGCGTCGCATAGCATCTATAGCACCTCAGGAAAAACTTATAAAATCATAAAGCCTCTTAGGACAACAGAGCATCGTAAAGCATATCATAGCATCTTAAAACATCTCATTCATCATATATTACCATATTGATCCTATAATATAGCATCATATATTACCATATTGATCCTATAATATAGCATCATATAGCATCGATAATTTTCTGCATAATATCTACTTACTCAAGCACGAGAATACTGTTCAGTCTGTGTTTATTTCTTTTCTCTGGTCTGTGTATCTAATACTGTTCAGTCTGTCTATATTTATATTCTCTGATCTATGTCTCTAATACTGTTTAGTCTGTGTATATTTTTATTCTCTGATCTATGTCACTACTACTGTTTATACTGTGTATATTTATGTTCTCTGATCTATGTATCTAATACTGTTTAGTCTGTGTATATTTATATTCTCTGATCTATGTATCTAATACTGTTTATCCTGTGTATATTTATATTCTCTGATCCATGTATATAATACTGTTTAGTCTGTGTATATTTATATTCTCTGATCTATGTATCTAATACTGTTTATTCTGTTTATTCTCTGATCTATGTCTCTAATACTGTTTAGTCTGTCTATATTTATATTCTCTGATCTATGTATCTAATACTGTTTAGTCTGTGTATATTTATATTCTCTGATCTATGTATCTAATACTGTTTATCCTGTGTATATTTATATTCTCTGATCCATGTATCTAATACTGTTTAGTCTGTGTATATTTATATTCTCTGATCTATGTACCTAATACTGTTTATTCTGTTTATTCTCTGATCTATGTCTCTAATACTGTTTAGTCTGTCTATATTTATATTCTCTGATCTATGTATCTAATACTGTTTAGTCTGTGTATATTTTTATTCTCTGATCTGTTTATCTATTACATAATATCGGATTGGGTATCCGGATCCCTTTTCATCCAATTCGGAAGATTTGTTTTTCTTCTTCTCTGTATGCAGTATGTTTACGGAGAATATCTTTCTTTAAAGTATTTTTATCCCTGAAAAAATGTGAAAATATATTAGCTTCTTGTTAAAACTACCAACTTTCTAAATCTGATCCCAAACTTGATCATATATTTACACTGTTCACACTACTTTGTTCAGCTGTGCATAGGATACAGGATACAGGATACAGGATACACCAGGGGCAGATACTGAATATAGGATACAGGATTCAGGAACCAGGAAATACCAGGGACATAGATACTGAATATAGGATACAGAATACAGGATACAGGATACACCAGGGACATAGATACTGAATATAGGATACAGGGTACAGGAACCAGGATACACCAGGGACTTGGATGGATACTAAATATAGGATACAGGATACAGGAACCAGGAAATACCAGGGACATAGATACTGAATATAGGATACAGGATACAGAAACCAGGATACACCAGGGACATGGATGGATACTGAATATAGGATACAGGATACAGGAACCAGGATATACCACGGACGTATTCTGAAAATAGAATAGAATATACAGGATACAGGATACATAGGATTCGGAATTCAGAATACAGGATACAGGTCAAATGATACAGAATACAAGATACGGAATGCTAAATAAAGGGTACAGGATAAATAGGATTATTAAACTTTTTTCTTCCTCTCATCAGACCAAGGTGTTTCCTGAGAGCCTTCTAGGGTTTCCTGACCAACCTCTAGCAGGGGTTCATCTTCTCTACCAGAATATGGACCTGGTAGGATACAGTTACAGATCTTAGAAAAGTTTAATATGTCTCAAATCCGAAAGAAGTTTTCCACAACACTGCATACTCAGTTCAACTACCTTACAAAGCCGGTCACTCCCTTTAA